CCGACCCCTGGTCTAGATCCATCCCCTTTGGAGCCCCGTTTCAGGAAGTTGAAGGCTGCTATCAAATCCCCCCTCACTCTTCTCTTCTGCACACTAAATAACTCCAGTTCCCTCAGCCTCTCCTCGTAAGTCATGTGCCCCAGCCCCCTAATCATTTCCATTGCCCTCCGCTGGACTCTCTCCAATTTGTCCATATCCCTTCTGTAGTGGGGGCCCCAAAACTGGACACAGTACTCCAGATGAGGCCTCACCAGTGCCGAATAGAGGGGAATAATCACTTCCCTCGATCTGCTGGCAATGCTCCTACAAATGCAGCCCAATATGCTGTTGGCCTTCTTGGCAACAAGGGCACACTGCTGATTCGTATCCAGCTTCTCGTCCACTGTCCATTCTGCGTCAGCAGCACCATTTTGCTGCGTTTCTAGGAGGGGAGTGAAGAATACCTTGGTTGTTATTTATGGGTATTACGGTAGTGCCCGGGAGCCCTAGTCATGAAGCAGGACCCCATTGTGCTAGGCGCTCTACAGACCCAGAACAAGACGGTCCCTGCCCCAAGGAGCTGACAGTCTGAGTATAAGACAAGAGATGGATAAGATGGGGGCGCACAAGGAGACAATATTGATCAATGATGGAAGGAATTTGTGAAGGCAAAATGTAAATACTTGAGCTGGAATTGAACCAGCGGCTGGGGCTAAATGTGCTGCTTCTCTGCTTGGAGGTGCTATCTTAGCAACCTTCCTGCATAGAATAATCCTGCCGAGGTGTGCAAATGTACAGCTCAGTTTTGCTAAAGGTTTAGATTAGCCGATGTTCAGTGCAAGGCACTATGGGAGCAGGGGCAGAACGGTGCGGATGCAGCCCTTTGCCGCCTCAAATCTCAGAACTGGCCTAGTTTGATGCCAGCTCCCGTGTGAAAGGAGATATGCTTCTTTATGCACTGCTGTTCCCTTAGTTACTCTTCTCACTCGGGTATCAGTAAGCTAGACCCATGCAGCAAGCTGTGCCGCCATATGTGCCAGACGCTCGCTCACATCATAAAGAGAATAATCGCTGCCGGAGGAAAACCATGTTGAGAGCCAATTAGATGTGCACAGGGAGTTTTCTACCTATATTTGATAAATATACGTCCATTTTCTTTAACGTCCCTGTTAGGCTACACCTGCGAGAGTTTCTTACACTGTTGTTCTATGGCATTTGTTCAGTCATTGCACGGACATCCCTTCGACGTTATGGCACTGACGTTTGCCCATCTTGGCCTTGCATTGAGGCTCCAAGCCTGAGTCCATCTGCTATTGTTTTTTAATTTGTTTGCAGATAATTAGGCTGACAAATCCAGCCAAGATCTTAAACACAAGAGTGCTAACAGAGGGAAGGGTGCTCTCTGCTTGCTTAGCATTTGGTACTGTTCCCATGCACCATTTGTTTGTCTTGCTGTAATCAAGCCTTATGCTTTATCTTGTTCTCTCCAGAAGAGTGATAGGCAAAACTCAATGAACTGGCCAGACTAGGGCCTTTGCCTTTCTGATCATCGCTGCACCAGCATTGCAAGGCCTTGTCCACACGGACAAATTGTGGTGCTTTAACTGTACTGGTATAGTTAAGTGGTACACACATCCCCGTCCCCCAGTGTGGATGTAGCTATTCTGGTATAAAGGTACTTATACCAGTATAGTTTATTCCTGTAAGGGAAGGGAGAAAAATTATACTGCGGTAAAGGATCTTTTTATGGGTATAACTGCATCCACACAAGGGCTTGTAGCAATTAATTATTTTGGTTAACTACTGAAATAGTTAAATTGGTACAAAAACTGAGTGTAGACCAGGTCTAAGGGTCTACTTCCAATTTCTGGGAATGATCTCCCTTCCCCCACAGACTCTGTTTTCAACGCTGACCTCTTTGTTCATTTTAAAGCCACCACCCAACCCCAAGTAGCCACACAGCATTTCATGATTTTTGCCTGCAGTTGAACCTGGTCAGCCTGTGTCTAGAACTGTGCGTAGCAGAGTCCAGTGTTGATTGTCGTGCTCATGACCATGAGTGCCTGCCTCAGGACAGACTGTCAGAAGCAGGGCGGACACCCCAAACTGCTGGTGTGTTTTATAATTAGATTTCACCATGCCAGTACCCAAATGTGAACGCCTAGATCACTAAAACAGTGTTACCATGTAGTCACAGGCAGTCTCCAGTCTATCTTGCCACCCCGACAAATTGGACTCCGTGATACATGGTCACTTATACCAAAAATCATAAATATTCCAGGTTACTCCCAGTCCCAAGAGACCAGTCACTCACCCAGGTAGAGCCATATTCTAGATCTCCCACCAAAGACGATGCTGGCAGCCAATTTTATAGAAAACTAACTATAGGTTTATTAGCTAAGAAAAAGAAATGAGAGTTATTGAGAGGTAAAATATATATACAGGTGAGTCACAGTCTATAATTCCAAATGCTGGCAAAGATGTAATAAATTGCCTGTTTCCCAAAGTCTTTTCAGGATACCCAAATTGTCTCTGCTTTGCATCCGGTACCCACCTCTGTAAGAGTCCAAACAGGATCTTTCCCTGAATCCTGCTTATATATTTTCTTCTCAGAGAAAACAAGCTGCCAGGGTCACCATCCAGGTGGGCTCTTTCTTTGATTGGTGGCCAGAGAGGAGTCTTAGATTTCTGGCCATCACACACAATGATCATTTGCCTTCAAATGTGCACAGATTAGCACTTTTCTGCTAAAGTTCTTCATCTGCATTACACAAGTCGTCTTTCTCATTTGATCAGTTATTTAGTTACAGAGGTATACCAAATGTGAATATTTACCATTACATTAGAACAGGATAAGATAAGTGAGATCAATGCATGTAACATCCTATTAATTTTCATGAAGTTTAAACACCAAGTACATTCTATGCAATTAATAACCACTTTAATTTATATTAATACACAAGTGAATTGGCCTGGGGCTTTGGCATGAGCTGGCACTTGGTCTGCCAGCATCACAGTGGCCACACAGTATTTCATGAGTTTTGCCGGCAATTAAAGCTGGTTGGCTTGTGTCTAGAGATTTGCACTAGTCAGTATCACATCCCTTCTTTTCTGAGAGGGACATAAGAAGTTTAAGTAAAAGAGCGTCCCGTTCTAGAGGAGGTTAGTGGAGAATGAACACATGCACGCTTCTCCTGCACTCAGAGCTAAAAATCCCCAAAGCAGGAACCTTATTTACATAGCTCATCTGCTCTTTTCACTTGGGTCTAGCCTTCGGTTTGCCGAGCTTAGCCTTGCTTGCTGTTGTACAGAGCACGCAGTCCGAAAGAGCACAGCTGCGGGTGAAAAACAGAGGGGAGGGCAGGCCAGCTGAGAGCGGAACAAGGACCTTTCATTTTCAGACCTGGCGTTTCTTTGCATTTATGTCAGGCTCTGTCAGCCTCAATGAATTCTTATACACCCACCTCCGCTCAGGTTGGAAACTCCTTTTTACACTTTGGCAAAGGGAGGCACTTGCCCGGTGAAAGTCAAGTGAGGATAAATAACCATTGGAATAACTTACCAAGGGTTGTGGTGGATTCTCCATCACTGGCGATTTTTAAGCCCAGATGGGCTCTTTTCCTAAAAGAGAAGCTGTAGTTCAAACAGGAATTAATTCAGCAAAATCCTCCGGCCTGTGTTCCCCAGAGTATGAGCACCACGTCCCTTCCAGACTTGAAATCTGGGACAGTGGTTCACTGTGGCTCAGAGAGGAAGTGGGGGAGAGAACTGCTCAGAGAGTGGCCTCAAAGGAAGAAGATGAAAGTGGGTAGCAGCAAGGAGGGATCCGTAAGAGGGGGAGCAAATGCAATTGGGGGCCTGCTGAGCATTGTACAAAGGCCCCATCATTCCCACTTTCTGCTCCAGTGGGGAAATGGGTTTTCTTAACTTCCATACTGTCCCATTCGGAGTTTAACTTCGCGTAAATGCTCAAAGCGATTGGACCTTATTATGGGCTGTTGTACAGTTTTTGCTTAATTGCGGTCTGGAAAAGTGATCTGTGTGCCGAGATGTCTTCTCACCCTTGGGGTGGTGTCCCTTTAAGTGCAGCGTGCTGAACAGTGACACCATGGTAGGCAATTATAGTGTTGTGTAATTAGCTTTCTTAAGTGCTATTGTTTTGGCATTACTAGCTATTTTGGAAGTGGTAATATCCCCCTCTGCCTGAATATATCACCATGGTGGATCTGAGCCTTCTAACCATGGACAAAGACCTGGCAGCAAAGTCATAGCCAATGGGCCCAGTGCATCTTTCATGTACAGTAACACCACTGACACCAGTGAGGGGTTTTGTCCGTTGCTTTTACTGTTGGAAGCTGAATCTTTGCTTTGTGTTGTGATGCTGGCCAAGGTGAGATAATGTCCAGACAGCCACAGGCCTTTTCCTTCTGATCACGAATTTGGAGAGCGGGTTGCTTTTCTTCAGGTCAGGAAAAAAATGGCTCCTTATTCAGTGTGTCTGTTCGCTGTGTGTTGGCGTAAAAAGCAAGATGTTACTCTTCGTAACTTTGCAGAGCTGATAGAGCACAGCAATACGCTGGGCTTTCCCCCTTTCTCCTGCAGAGTTCAGCGTTTGCCACAAGGGGGCACCTTGCATTTGATTCCTATTGGGTGTTGCCCATTTGTGGTAACTTGCAGACAGCACCCCAAGAAGAAAAGCGCTTTACCATACTTGTACAAATGTCAGCACTAACTAGAGGTTCATGCTTTAAGATCAGGAGGTCAGAGGTTCAATCCATGCCGTTGGCGACCCACCAAGGGGTGTGGCGTTACACGGAACCTTTGAGAACTTGCTTAACTTCTCCTCCTCCTAAAAATGGGGAGAATGGTACATCCCTATTACATGGAGATGGTGAAGCTTAATTCTCGTCTGTACAGCGCTGTGCCCCTACAGAGGTGCACGGAGCACTTGTTCTTTTTGTTTGCTGATCCGTCCATTTCCTTCCCCTTGTTTTCTCTCGTGGGGCTTCTGTCCCAAGCAGGTTTCCGTCAGATCTCACAGAGCAAAGTGGCGGTGCTGCTCCTGGCTGGAGGGCAAGGGACCCGCCTGGGCGTGGCCTATCCCAAGGGGATGTACAGCGTGGGGCTGCCCAGTGGGAAGACCCTGTATCAGATCCAGGCAGAAAGAATCCGCAAACTGGAGCAGCTTGCTGGCAAGAAATACAGCACGACATGTACCATCCCATGGTAGGTAGCATGACATTGAGTATACGTGGTACAGCAGAACAGAAAGCCATTTGGGCATCCATCACCTGAGAAACATGAGGCCGGAGTGCTTGAAATCTGAGAAAGGTGGATCCTTCAGCCAATGAGATTGAGGTCTCTGGGAACTAACTATAGGTGAGAATCCTGCTTAACAAAGCTTGTAACTTGCTGAAGTTTTAGTCTGTAGAAAGCGTGTTTGGCTTGTCACCTTTCATATCTCTTTCACTCCGACTTGAAATCACTTGCACCTATGGCTGTTGTTAGTAAACTTTATTCTTGTTTTATCACAAAACCATCTCAGTCCCCTTTTAGTGAAGTGCGGGTCTTCAGCTAACCAGCTCATGTGTGCCCTCTCCTTTCGGAGGCAGCAAACTTCTGTGAGTGTCCGGTGAGAGGGACTGACTGCTGCAGAAGGGACATATCTGGGGAGCTCGGGAATTGGGGTTCCCTGATTGTGACCGCAAGGCCAGTTTGAACTGGCAGAGTCCTGAAGGGTTTGCTGGCAAGAGAGACACAACAAAGCTCACTCTTGCTGAAGCTGAGTGGCAGTACGGTAGCTCCCAGTTTGGGGTGACCCGAGCAAGTCGTCGCACAAACGTGAAAAGAGCAGCCCTGAATAGGACACTGCCAAAGATGGGAGCCTTGAAATGCCACCTACTTTAAAGGTGGTTTATTTACAACGGGACTCGTGATCCCATGACTGCCACTGGCTTATTTCCTTTTCCAAAACCTCAAGGTTTCAAAACAGTCTAAATGTGCAACATGCAAAAAGATAATTGTGTTGGCGGGTGGGGGAGAGAGAGAGAGAGAGCACTGACTGTGCAATTCTTGGAACAAGTTGTTGCTAGCAGTTCGTCCTTAAAATAAAAAGCAGGGTTCTTGTCACTGTCCCCTCCCTGCGTGGTCACAGGCAAAGCAGAGGCACAAAAACGTCCCTGAGCCGTAATCCAGGTGCTGCCTAAACACCATGGTGCTGTAGGTTGCTCTGCCGTAGAGCTAATGCCATATTAGTGGAAGTATATCTCACCCTGTGTGTATTGGACCGGATCGGTGAGCGCTTGCGGCTCCAGCACCTCTGGAAATCAGGCCCGTTATTCTTAGAATGTAAAATCTAAGTTGATCCCATCTGGCGTTTGCCTGGTGCTCTGTTCATTATGAAGGAGATGGTTGGAAAATGCAGTGGACCAAACCTGGAGGCCAGTTTATGCTGCGGTCAGGGAGAAGTAAGCCCCATGTACGTATGGACATTGGGCTGACCAGTGCTGGGGTGGCTGGTCTGCTATGCAGGAAGGAGACCCCCTGTAGGATAGTAGTGGGAGTTGCAGAGCTGCTTAGGGGGGAACTCAGGAAAATGAGCACTCAGCGTCCTTGTATTAAGGAAGAAAAGAAAATTAAAGGGAGGGGAAGATGAGGGAGGGGGAGGAGAAAGAAGGCAAGAGAGGAATAAAGAAACTGGGGGCGGGGAACCCACACACACAGCTGTGAGGTTGGAAAATATTGCTGTATTTCTCTGGCAGTAAAGAGGCACTGGAAAGCTTTGATTCAAGCTACTGAAAATTCATCACTGGCCCATAAGACCTGGCACAGCGCAAAACCCACTTTGAACCCTTCTTCCTCCCTTTCATGAGATCCGTTTGATAAGGCAAAGAGGGTTTTTTGGTCGCTTACCTCAGTTGCTAACTGACCCTCTAACGCACGGGAGTCCAACTCGTTTTTGGACGGGGGCATGTTTAACTATGGTCAAAGTATAAATTCAGGCCTATACTATTCCTTGTAGAGATCCTAGAGAATTGACCAGAAATGGAGTCTCTCTGTAGAAGTTTAAGATCAGTAGCAGAGAGATCATTCTTTATGAAATGCTGTGGGTTATTTTAAAGTCCCTATAGATTACATCTTTATTAAGTTTGGTCTAGATCAGGGGTGGCCAACCTGTGGCTCCGGAACCACATGCGGCTCTTCAGAAGTTAATATGCGGCTGCTTTGTATAGGCACCGACTCCGGGGCTGGAGCTACAGGCGCCAACTTTCCAGTGTGCCGGGGGGTGCTCACTGCTCGACCCCTGGCTCTGCCCCAGGCCCTGCCCGCACTCCACCCCTTCCCGTCCCCTCCCCTGAGCCTGCCGTGCCTTCACTCCTTCCCTCTCCCCCCCGAGCCTCCTGCACGCCGCGAAATAGCTGATCAGGAGGTGCAGGGAAGGAGGGGGAGGCGCTGATCGGTGGAGGTGCTGGGGAAGGGGATAGCTGATGAGGGGCTGCTGACGTATTACTGTGGCTCTTTGGCAATGTACACTGTTAAATTCTGGCTCCTTCTCAGGGTCAGGTTGGCCATCCCTGGTCTATAGGGTTTTTCTGTAAGGGTATATTGTGTGCGTGTGCACTGCATTTCATCCTGACTGTTCAGCTTCTGTTCTCCCGTAGGTACATCATGACAAGCGAGTTTACACTAGGGCCAACAGAGACGTTCTTCATAGAACACGATTACTTTGACCTGGATAAGACCAATGTGATCATGTTTGAGCAGAGGATGCTGCCAGCTGTAACGTTTGATGGGAAAGCCATCTTGGAACAGAAGGGGAAAGTTGCCATGGCACCAGGTACCCTGCGGTTTGCGCGTGATAGTCACAGGAGGGGAGTGTGTGTTGAAATTCAGCCCTTCTCTTGGGCACACAGGGGACTCCCTGCTGCTACGTATATTAATGCTCCTGATTAGCTTCGCCCTGGGGGTTCAGATAAATGCGTGCAGTAAACGTTCCGAGCGTGATGATCTCACTGCGCTGGGAGTTCGCCCACATCGCAGACCCTTTAGCGCAGTCTGGGAATATTGACCGGACTGGAAGAGCAGGGGCTGGTGCAAGGCAGGGATGAGGCGAACTGGCAGAGCTGTATGTGTGCGGGATGAGAATGGAGGAGAGGCAGGATTATAACAGAAGTGCTGCATGTCAGGACTGAAGGCCATCAGCAGAGCTGTGTATGGGCTGCTGGGCCATCCCCCGCCTGTGCTGTGCCGGGCTCCAGTCAGTGCTATCGATTCAGCTGCAAACCCCAGAGAGAAATGCTGTCAGGCTGGGGAGTGATCATGTGGCTGGGAAACATGTTTGTTTTCTAGCAAAGGAAAATTCCGGCAAAGTCTAACTATCACCTTAAAACACACAGTGGCCTCCTGCGCCCAGCTTGTGCGTGATTAAAAGAAGCAGCAAATCCGGGGAAGTGATGTGCCAAGCCTGTGTTGCTGCAGGGGTATCTCCTCCAATGCCGAGTGTAGCGCTGGCTTCCCCGGGAGCTCTTTGGAGCGCTGTAAAGGTTGTAGCCAAGTGAGGATGATCCACTTGTTGTGTCTGTTGCATAAGTGTTCAAGATGCCTCGTACAAAAAACAACACAGTTAAAGGGAAAATCCGACTGTTCTTTAACACTACTGTAAAAAGACAGCAGGCCAAAACCACACCAATTTTTTTTAAAGCTGTATTTTAACTGTGGCTGGGTATGAAGCTTTGGAAGACAAGGGGTGTGTCTGTCATTTCTCCGCCTCTGTTTAATTCTTTTGTGGCACTTGCCTCCAAAGATCTCAAAGCACTTCACAAATGTCAGTGAACAAAGCTCCGAAGCCCCTCTTGTAGCTTAGGTCAGCGTCACTATCCCCATTTTACAGATGGGGAAACTGAGGCACTATAGTGAACTGACTTGCCCAAGGTCATGCAGTTTGTCCGGGGCAAAGCCAGAAGTAAAATGCATCCGAGATGACTCCCAGTCCTGTGCTTTAACCACTAGAAAAGCCCTCCTTGTTATAGATTGTTCAGGGCATGTGGAGTCTGCAGTCAGTCAACGCGTGGTTTGAGTGGCTGGACATTTAAGGAAATGGGGCCCCCTCTTTCTTTTGCATTCCAGATGGCAACGGCGGCTTATATCGTGCTCTAGTTGACAACAAGATCTTGGATGACATGGAGCGGCGCGGTATCCAGTATATCCATGTGTACTGTGTGGACAATATCCTCGTCAAAATGGCTGATCCCGTCTTCATCGGCTTCTGCGTGTCTAAAGGGGCAGACTGCGGTGCTAAGGTGAGGTGATGCTGACGTTGGACCACTCCCCCAGCGTGCCTGTTCGTGCGTACCAAGGCTCTGGGGTGTGTACCACGGCTCAGCGGGGTTCAGGTGACACCTGTCCATGCAGCTTCCATCTTGATCCCACCGGGAGAGCTGCACCAGTGGTGAATCTTGCATCCAGTTTGTACCATTGTGGGTGCAGATATAAAGCCCTGTGCCCTTTCCGTAAGGTGCCATGGCAATCACGTGCAGATTATTTCATGGGCTTCATCAACTTGCACGGGAAATTACAACCTGGAATTGTTTCTTTTCTAACTCCCTGCTCTTCCTTCAGAGATCCCTCAGAGACCAGGGGCTTGTGTATACTGGGGTGTCTTTTACAAATAGACCAGACTAGATGCTCCCTTAGTGGGGAGTTAGATGGAGCAAAGCTAGCATGTTTTTGTGACAGTACAGCAGCAGGCCCTTGACACTTTGTTGAAAGAGATTTGGGCAGCATGCAATGAAAAGTGTTAACATAGATAAAGATCTTAAAGGAAGTGACTAGAAATATTTTGCATTTCATGTTGGGTCAAATGAAAGGCCCTTGGTAGGACAAATGTGCCGGAGAATACTCTGTTCCCGCTGAGCATTGCTTTTTCTTCCAAATGCTTTGGCTCTTAAACTGGTTGAATACTGTCTAAGAAGCCAGATTCATGAGGGCAAAATGCACCACCAATGCTGCGCTGTCCCCTTTGTTGTGCTGCTATGGCATTTGAAGATCAGCGCTTAGCAGAACCTCACTGCGTGCGAGTTTTCCCACAGGGTTTGCACTAGCCCCCAGCAATGCCAATGGAATCCCTGCCTCCTGGCTGCTCCCTCATCCTCTGTCTTGTGGCTGCAGGTGGTGGAGAAGGCCTATCCCACAGAGCCTGTCGGGGTAGTGTGCCGTGTGGACGGGGTCTATCAGGTGGTGGAATACAGCGAGATCAGCCTAGAGACCGCCCAGATGCGGAGTCCCGATGGGCGGCTGGTGTACAGTGCCGGCAATATCTGCAATCATTTCTTCACGCTCGGCTTCCTCGAGACAGTGGCACAGTAAGTTCCACTGCACCTTCCAGCTTGCTTTTCGGACTGAAAATATACATGGCAGAAACTATCCTGCCGGCTGTGGTTTCTAGGCTTCTGTTATGGGATAATCTCCCCGCCCCCCCTTCTGTGAAAAACAGGTGTATCCTCTCAAGTCCCCAGCACCTTCTTCTACTCACCGGTTGCCCGCACTGGTGTAACCAAATCACCTTAGTTACATCAGTGCAAAAACTCAGTTTAGCTCAATCTGGTAATTACCGAATTCTGCTAAACGGGGGTAATGGCAGCTTAAACCTGTTCAAGGGCACTTACCTTAGGGATTTGCTCTGGTGTCACTGAATCAATTCCAGATCAAGTCAGTGACGCCGGTGCAAGTTTTCTAGTATAGCCAAGCCCTGAGTCTGTCTCTGACTCTACTCTTGTGGAGGGTTCCACCCACTGTTCGGAAGCCAGCCACAAGTGGGGCTGCTCTCCCCTACTGCTCTTCAGTTTGATTTGCCATCTCGTTTGCCGTAGCAGCTCTGGCAGGGACGCGTTGCAGAGTCACCTCGTTCCGTCCCCAGAGAGGGGAGCCAAAGCTCTGCTGTGCTCAGAAGCAGTGTGGGCTGATTAAAGAGCAGCTCTGAAGGAGTCCGGTCATGTCAGTCATCGTCGACGGGCAGGATTTTAATCCTGGTGCTGGGGGAAATGGGTGAGGTCTGTGGGCTCATACATGGCTGAAGAGGTTCTCTTAGTAAGATGCAGGGGAGCAAACCTTCATCATTAGAGCATGGGAACCTTGGCTTCCAGAGGCATTGCTATAGGGGGTTGGTGCTGTTGTTTGCGATGCCCGGGAGAGAGGTAATTCGGAGAAAGCAGCTGTCAGTCAGCTTTGAACCATTTCCTACCCACTGAATACGATCCAGCAATGGGAGTTAATTCTAATGATCTTGTGTTTCATTGGCTGAGTGTGGCCTGCTTCCAGAGAACTCCACCGCACAGCTCTCCAGCAGGACAAGTTTCTTCACCCCATGTACAGTTCAGTCCAGCTCTTAGTTAAACTTGGCGGCTGGTTGGTTTTATTTCCCCCTCCCCCTTTTGTCCTCTCTCTCCCGGTTGTTATTGCGAATTTGTGCTCTCTGATTGCATGTCAGATCTGGGCATTCCTGTAGCCTGGAGTTCCTGAACCTAAGCTGAATAACTGCCTGATTAGTTTCATATCAGGCCCTGAGCAGGGATGATGGAATCACTGTGGTTACTTCATCTTCTTAAGAAAGTGAACCTACCTGGGCCGACAGGGATTAGGCATGTTTGGGGCTAGACGGAGGGAGAGATCCACACAGCCCACCAGTGATCTCTGGCAGATTAAGGAGTCGCACCCATGGGTTCCAATGGTTGCATCATAAAGTTAAGGGATGGGGCAGAATTACCGGGCTCTGGCAAGAGTGAGTGTTGCCCCTGGAGTTGGGGAGGGAGGTGTCCAAGGAACCCCTGAGTGCCCCAAAGAGCGATGCTGGCGATTCACTAAGGGGCACTCTTCCCTTGGCCCAGCGCAGTGCTGGGGACACTACGCTGCCGGAGGGCCCCTCTCCTTGGGTGAGATGCAACATTGAGGTTGTTTAATAGGTGGAGACAAATCCAGTGAGCTTTATTTCGTTTCTGTTCAGTCTGGAGTCGGGCAGAGCTTTTATGGAGGTCAGCGGTAGGTTTGTCTTAATAAGGATCTTTGGCTTTGGCCTGGGCTCACTAAAGAGCCAGTGGAATTAAGGTTCCTGGTCAGATTCCCACTCTGGCAGTTACTTTTTTAAAAAACTCTTCCTGGAGTTTCAATTGGACACAGAATTCTTCTTCTCTTCCTGCCTACGCGATTGTGCAGTGTTGGTGGCCCAGAATGGCTGCCACGTTTCCCCACAGAGGTGGCTGCATTTCTGTGGTCAGTGAAGTGATCCTTAGGCACAATTTATTTATCTGTTTGTAAAGAGCTTTGGAATGAATGGCACTCAGTAATCCCGAGGTACGGCTAATAGTAGTAATAAGCCGTCTGCTTCTGAGACCTGAGATTTCCCCTGCCCGTGTTTTGGGTATGAAGTAAATGAACCTGGTTTTCCTCCTCTTTCACCCTGGCAGGAAATTTGAGCCCCAGCTGAAGCAGCATGTAGCCATAAAGAAGGTGCCCTACGTCGACGAGGAGGGAAATCTGGTAAAGCCGCTAAAGCCAAACGGGATAAAGCTGGAGAAGTTTGTGTTTGATGTGTTCCAGTTCTCTAAGTTAGTGGCAGACGTCAATCTTTTCCTTCTCAGTCTTCTCTTTGACTGTAGGTTGCAGCACGCCTTTACGGGTAGCGTGGACTTTGGAAGTGACATTGGGGTGGCTGGCGAAAAGACTGCTACATCTGCTGGGGTCCCCCAATACTGCGATGGCCCAGGCACGGCCAGCGTCCTATTTCACATGCCCTGTTGGGCGTGCTGTGTTCTGGAGCACATAGCCCCAGCACCTGTGAACCTGGCTTTGAATGTCTGCAAATGAATGACTGCACGCTCCACTGGGTGTTCTCTGGTGGCGTGGGTCTTTGTCTCATACGTGGAACAAGGAAATTCCATGCAACGCCTACATTTGCTAAATTCTCAGCCATGAGGTTGTAAGCCCACAGAAGTCAGGCCATCCAGAATTGCGGTCCCTGTGGCAACTGTGACTCTGTTAGATTTTACACACCCATTAAGCCCAGGTATTCAATTAGCACCATATACAGCCGTAACGCACATTATTTAAGGATTGTATGGCCAAGTTACAATTGCTGTTGGAACAATAAATGTTGCCTGACTTTTTAATGCATGTAAAAAATCAGTCTTAATGTAGCATTAATCTGGGGGGAAAGGGAGTTGCACTTAATAGCTCAAGGATCTACCATCATTCTTATTCTAAACTCTGTTTTCCTGGGTCTAGAATTCAGCACTAAATCATAGAATATCAGGGTTGGAAGGGACCTCAGGAGGTATCTAGTCCAACCCCCTGCTCAAAGCAGGACCAATCCCCAGACAGTTTTTTTACCCAGTTCCCTAAATAACACCCTCAAGGATTGAGCTCACAACCCTGGGTTTAGCAGGCCAATGCTCAAACCACTGAGCTATCCCTCCCCTCCCATTGCTGGAGAGTCACTCCAGGTTGAAATATAAATATAAAGGAACCTCGGCCTGAGTGTGGTGGCTTCTTGTTTTTAGATTTTTAAAGCAATTTCTATTAAAGGGATTTAATTTAGGACTGAGCTCTCCGAAGTTTGATCCAGCTGTTTGCGCCATACAGCTGCTTGCACAGTCCATGGAAATCCTGTTTTTTGGGAGCGTTATTTTTTAATAAACAAGTATCCCTGGAGGGCTGCTGACACGAACAAGTCCGTGTGCACTGCCTAGCCCTACTGAGCAACTCGACAAAAATAACCCACTGTACCACGATGGCAAAATAATTCTGCTCCAAAAACAGATCTGAGTTTCAAGCTGTGAAAGGGCTAATTATAAGCGATGGTTTTTAACTGTGGCAGAATGCATTGACAGATTGAAATGCAAAAGTATGCAGGTGTTGCTTTGGGGAGATTCTGTTCGCATTTCCCATTACTGAAAAACAGCTCTTTGTAGGATATGTCTACGCAGCCCACGGCAGCGAGCCTCCCAGCCTGGCTTAATAGATTCAGGCTAGCAGGGCGGGGGCTAGACAGCTGGGCAGACAGTGATTTGATGTTGCCGCTCACGCTGGAGCTCGGACTCTGAATCCTAGGGTAGGGGTGGGCTTTAGTGCCCAACCTCCAGCCTGAGACACCATGTCAAAGCGCTGTCTACACAGTTGCTCTTAGAGCACTAGCATGATCCCCGACCTGGGTTGGGCGGTTCCTTCCACAGCTGTGTAGACACACACTTAATATTCTGCTTGACTGTATTGTGCAGGTGGCTTGTTCGTAACCAGGACTAGCGTTGCTGACCCCATCCCCCTCCTAAGGAAAGAAACCTAGTTTACTATGACAGTTTCTCGGTTTAGAAAAACCGGGCTCGGAGTTCAGTTGGACCTGTTGGTTCATAACAGATTTTCATGTGCAGTGTAGCAGGGCTTACCCAGCCTAGCTTCCGGCCTTACTGCTGCCTCTGTTCCCCCTGCTTGTAACCCACCCTCTGGGCTCACGGTCCCTTATTTATCACCCTTCTAGCTGGGGCTTCCCAGCTAGCAGGCTGCTGCACCCTGAAGGAGTCTCTCTCCCCTAGGCCTTCTGCCTGGGAGCTCTGTAGAATTGTCACCTGCTCTCTTCACAACAAACTTCCTGTCCAAACTGCCCTTACGTTCCCCTTTACTCCTGTGCTCCCATCCCATGACCCTTGTATTCATTCACTCTCCACCAGGGGAAGGGGGCTAAGCCTGGCTTCATTCTGCTGGGGCTATGCTACATCAGTGTTACTCAGGGTAAGCCCCCACCCTGTGAAATCTGTAAGTGTCTGTACCATCAAGAGAGGACCCATATTAAGCTTTTTCTCTCTTTCCTGACCCCTCCTCTTCTCTGATAGGAATTTTGTTGCATTTGAAGTTTTGAGGGAAGAGGAGTTCTCCCCTTTAAAAAATGCAGACACAGCCGACACAGACACTCCGACCGCAGCTCGGCGGGCCCTCCTTTCTCAGCATTACCGCTGGGCTCTGAAGGCTGGAGCCAGATTCCTGGATGAAAATGGCAGCAGGATACCAGAGAAACTCAAGTGAGCCCCTCTGTGATATGTTCTGTTGTTTTCCTCCCAGTCGCTACCGAATCTGGGCTGGTTTGTGGCATCTGACGCTGTTGCACGGAATTTGTCACTTCTTGGGGTAGAATTTCCTGCAGTGGTGGGTGTGGTTCTTGTCCTTCCCCAGGCCTTTCATTAACATGCCGCTGGAGATCAATGCTGATGACTGCTCCGGCTGCGTTAGTGATCAGAGCTCACGTGTAAGGGTAAGATTTAGTCACGGGTATTTTTAGTAAAAGTCATGGACAGGTCACGGGCAATAAACAAAAATTCACCATGCTGGTCACTGCAGCTGCGGAATTTTACAGAGATCGTGGAAAGTCACGGAATCTGTGACTTCCGCGACCTCTGTAACAAACACGCAGCCTTAATCGTGGGAGGTGGAATGAGTTCTGGGTGCAGTTCACAGGGCAGCCAGTGTACGGATACCCTTAATGGGGTCGAGACCCCCATAGGCATAAACTCTGGCAGAACCTTCTGCTGACGGAACATCCACCGAGGGCTGAGTTTGCAGCAGTGAAGAGTGCTCACAACCGGAGTTATGCCAAGGTTGTGTAGGGGCCCATGCATCTGCAAATGTCAGGGATGCTGTACGGAAAGGGGGCCTGGCCAAGGCTGTCAAGGAGAGTACTGAGTCAGTAGTTCACCTCCACATCCCCATGGAGCTCTGGCAGGATTTAAAGCTGACCCCCAGAATAGAAATCCTGACACAGGGAACGTTAGCGGCAATACTGCCTTTGTTGCAGTCATTCTTTCTCTTGGCATTAAGGGCTTAGCCAGCACCGCAGAGGTGTAAGTTACCCGATCTGCACCAGCTGTTCTGAACAGGGTCCCAATACTTCTCATTGTATAGCAGTGTTTTTGTTCTGTTGGGTACTAACATCTGGTTGTCAGCTACTATATAACAATCCCCCTTTCAGGTGCTTCCTTTCTCACACTTAATTCACACAAACTTTACCATGGGGGGCGGGGGGGTCTGTTGTTTCATCATCTCATAGTCCAGTAAACCCAGAAGCGGTTAATATTAGTTGAAAAGCACATCGTCAAAATCTGCGTGCATTTGTTTCTTTTGATTTGAAGTAGCCAGGAAACGTTAACTCCTCCTATTTACCCATAATCCAGGTTCAAACTGTCACGGGACCTGGGCTTAATCTCTGAATGTAAACTCTCTCTTGCCCCTTTGGTGTAGCCTGTTCTGTTCTGTGAGCTCTCTCAAGGATGCTAGCATTGTGCAGACATATAAAGAGAAAGATTAATCCTGTGTTTTATTCTTTAGTTTATCGGGAACTGAAGATCCTCCTGCTGTGTGTGAGATTTCTCCATTAGTGTCTTATTTTGGAGAGGTGAGTATAATTGTCTCTGCAGATATTTTTAATGGGGTGTGTGTGTGTGTGTGTGTGTGTGTGTATTTCCTGTTGAAAAAACAGGTTTCTTCACCTTGCAGTTGCTTGGAAATATGGTAATGGTTAGCCAAAGGGGCCTGAGATTCAGGACCTTTTGCCTTATGTTTTTTGGCTGTGCAACTGACTAACTGTATGGCATTGGTTGCATCCCTTAATCTCTGTGTGTCTCTGTAAAGTGAGATTTGTAATACTTCCCTCCTTTGGGGCTGTGAGACTTTGATTTATAAATGCTTTGAGATCCTCTGACTAAAAGCTTTCTGGATGTGCAAAATTATGATGATTAATAAATTCATCAGGCCAAATCCTCAGATGGGGTAATTCTGCACACGAGTTTACATCAGATAAGTATCTCGCCCATAGTGAGCAAATAATACTTAGCAACAACACTGCTTGGTATACGCTCTGCCTTTCGGA